AATCAATTTATTAATCTATATACAAACCTTGTTGGGATTTTGATTGGGATTATGTTGAACTGACAGATAATCTGGGGAGATCTGCCATTTTAACAATATTGAGTCTTCTAATTCATGAACATGGTACTTAATTTACTAAGGCAGCAGTTTAATTCCATTTCATTAAAAAAAATAAAAAGTATTCCTTAGGTGTTTCTAGTATGGAGATCTTACATACATTTCCTTAAAGTCATCCCTAAGTATCTCATGTTATTTTATGGTATTGTAAATGGTGTATTTCTTTTCAATTTCATTACTAATATATAAAAATACAACAGATTTTCATATATTGACCCTCCTATGATAATGATAAGTTCACATTAGCTGTAGAGATTTTTCTGAGAAATCCTCAGGATTTTCTGTAAATATAATCATGTCATAGGTGAATAAAGATGTTTTTATTTCTTCCTTTCAAATCTGTATGCCTTTTCTTCTTCTTAGTTCACTGATCAGTACAGTGTTTAATAGAAACAGCGAGAGCATTATCTTTGCTTTGTTCCTGATCAAAAGGGAAAAGTGATTAGTTTTTCATAATTAGGGATGAAGTAAGCTGTAGGTCTTTATCTGGCAGATGAAGTTCTTTCTACTTGTTCTACCAATTATTGAGAGATTGGTATTAAAGCTTCTAATTATAATTGTGGATTTGTTTTCCTCTATGCAGTTCTATAAACATTTGCTTCACATATTTTGAAGCTATTATTACGTGCACATTTAACATTGTTATGTCTTTGTGCTCGAATGACCGCTTTATAATTTTGAAATGAACTTCTTTGGCCTTGGTACTACTTGGTGCTCTGAAATTTACTTTGTTTAATATTAACATATCCAATCTAGCATTCTTCTGATTAGTTTTAGAATGATGTATCATTTTCCATCAAGGTTTCTTGTAGGCAGCATATATGTGAGTCTTGCCTTTTTGTTTATTAATCTCTGCCTTTTAACTAGGGTGTTTAGACCTTTGCTATCTAATGTGATTATTGGCATGCTTTGGTTTAAAACTACCATCTGTTTGTTTTTATTTGTACAATCTGTACTTTGTTCTCTGTTTCTTCTTTTTCTGACTTCCTTTGGATTTATTTTTTATGATTCCATTTTATCTCCTGTTTTTGATCATATTAGCTATAACTCTTTCTCATACTAATTTAGTGGTTACTTTGGGCCTTATACTATTTGCATTTAACTTTCACAGTCTATCTTAAAGTGATATGCCTCTTCATATACAGTACTAAAAGCTTAGGGCTGGGTGCAGTGGCTCATTCCTGTAATCCCAGCACTTTGGGAGGCTGAGCTGGGAGGATTGCTTGAGGCCAGGAGTTCAAAACCAGCCTGGGCAACATAGCAAGACCCTGTCTCTACAAAAATTTAAAAAATGAGCCGGGCATGGTGGCACTTGCCTGTAGTCCCAGCTACTCAGGAGGCTGAGGTGGGAGGATTGCTTGAACCCAAGAGTTGGAGGCTGCAGTGAACTATGATTGTGCCACTGCATTCCAGCTTGGGCAGTAGAGCAAGACCCCATCTCATAGAGGGAAAACAAAAAGCTTAGAACAGTATGATTCCAGTTGAATACAAGTGTATGGCAGGAAGCTAGTCCACAACAGTTATGCCAAGACAGCTGAAAGTAGAAGACAATGATGGAGTTTTAAATCTCTGTCTTTCAGACTTGGAACACATATACACCAATCCACACCAAAACTCACTTATTTTCTGGTTGAGTAGCTTTATGAAGTTGATTTTATTTGTAACCCACTGATACTGCTTAATAAGGTAAAAAATTCAGGACATAAAGCAGATTAATCAAATCTGGCACCAAGTTTTACTTTATTTTTTGGATAATCCTTTATTTAACTAAGTAGTTTTAAAATTTATTCTCTGGTTCTGAAAATATATGGCTGAAAAATACATAAATAAATAAAATTTATTTTGTAACAATATATGTTTCATG